TGGGATTTCTAATTATTACTGAATGGGGTGGACCCGATTACTGAAACTTTTGTGAAATGGGTGGGCTTGGAAACTGAGCATGGTTTTTGAAACGCTTGTGTTTGTTATTGAAACGACTTGGCCCAGTTATTGGAGAGAGCGTGATCCACCGCCGCTTTACTGTGGAAAATTGCCAACCTTTTCCTCCGGAACCCGGGGGTCGCCCCCCCCCCCCCCTCCGAAAATCCCCCCCCCCTGCTGGAACCCCTCCCCACCCCCCCCCTCCACCGGCAAAACCCCCCCCTCCCCTAACCCTCCCCCCCCCCCCCCTCCCGCCTCGAAAACCCGAGGGGGTCACTACCGTTCGAACCCCTCCCCCCCCCCCCCCCCCCCCCCCCTCCGGATCCGGAAAACCGGGGGGGGTCACTACCGGTTCGAACCCCCCCCCCCCCCCCCGCCCCCCCCCCCTACTCACCGCCAGCAAACGACTCCCGGTCCCCACCACCGTCCGCATCACATCCCCACTGGTGTTCCCAGCACCACTGTCCTCACCACCGCTGTCCCCACTGGTTCCACCACCGCCCCTACTGTCCCCACCAGTGGCCCCACCACTGTCGCACTGTCCCCGCTGTCCCCAGAACTGTTCCCACCACGGTTCCACTCTCCCCACTGTCTCCACGGCCCCAACCACTGCCCGACTATCCCCACTGTCCCCACTGTCCCACTGACTCCTCCGCTGTCCCACTGAGCTGTCCCACTGTTCCCACCACTGTCCCCACTGTCCCCACCACTGTCCCCACTGTACCTCTGTCCCATTGTCCCACCGCCGTCCTCGCCACCGCCTTCACCACTGTCCCCACCACCATTGTACCCTCCACTGTCCCACTGTTTCCACCTCATTCCCATTGTCCCCACACCACTGTCCCCACCACCACCGTCACCACCACTGTCCACTGTCCCCCCCTGTTCCCACCATTGTCCCCACCACTGTCCCCACCACTACCGTCCCCACCACTGTCCCACTGTCCCACTGTCCCCACCACTGTCCCGCTATCCCCTCACCACTGTCCCCACCAACACCGTCCCCACCACTCTCCGCACCCCCACTCGGTTTTTCGAGGGGGGGGGGGTTCGAACCGGTAGTGACCCCCCCCGGTTTTCCGGATCCGGAAGGGGGGGGGGGGGAGGGGTTCGAACCGGTAGTGACCCCCCCCCCCCTTTTCATGATGAGCAGGGGGGGGGGGGGGGGGGAGGGGTTCGAACCGTAGTGACCCCCCCCGGTTTTCCGGAGGGGGGGGGGGGGGGGGGGGGGGGGGGGGGTTCGAACCGGTAGTGACCCCCCCCGGTTTTCCGCCAGCAGCGGTAGAACACGCTCTTTCAGTTATTGAAACACTTAGGCTTTATACTGAAACGGGTCGGCCCGTTTACTGAAACACTGAGGTTTGTTACTGAAGCGATTGGGCCTCTTACTGAAACGCTTTTCGGTTACTGAAGCGCTTGCTTGTTACTGAAAAGGTTGCTGTTCCGTTCTTCCGAGGTGGGGAGTGACATGGATGCCCCTTTCTTTGTTGACCGATCGCTTCCAAAATGACGCCCTCCAAGGGCCCGAAGAAAGCAGAAAGAGGCTCCAAGAAGACAATTCGAGATGGCCATGGAACTTCACAATAATAATATCAACGGCGACAACGACGGATATAACGGCAACGATAACGGCGAAAACGATATTGATTATGATCACAACGACAGCGATTGCCGTTGGGCTGTGGGCGGATGGGATTACAGAATTCGACCACTACCGCCAAACATGCTTACTGGGCTAGCTCGGCCGACGTACTCCAACAACTCAACGCCAAATCCTAACACATGGCTAGAAACATCGTATACGGATTGACTACGCTCAGGGCTGGGGGGGCTCGGTGGTCCTGAGTGTCTGGTTGCAGCGGAAGAAGCAGGCCGTTAATGTGACGCCGTTGGGTGGCCAGTCCGTCTGCGCGGACTGCCTTGGCCGCGGGAGCACGCCCGCCTGCTCCAGAACCCGCAAATCTGGTACTTGGCGAGTGGCCGCACGGGTGGCAGTACCACGTTTCCAACGCGTTGGAACAAGAAATCCATGAAGGATTCAGCCGGCAACTTGCGTCATCTGGTGCTCGGGCACATGAGGCTTGCCCTGGGAAGGCCAGACTACAATCTGCTATGGGCCGCTGTGGTCGAGGATGATTGTGGCATCCACCACTGACGGCTTGAGATTCACCAACTCTGACTTGCAGTGTGCAGTGCGACGACGGCTCGGGACTGCAATGCTGTTTGATGGGCCTGATCCCCATGGGCACGCCTTACTTGCGTCGGGGGACGGCGGCAGATTGCAGACCAAACACAAGCAAGTGGTGGCAGCGCGGAGGCAGGTATTCGTGGGAGCAGGTGGAACGGTACCTGACCGAAACGTGGAACGACAACTACGCCACACTAACATCCCAGTATGGTTGGACCTTGTGGTCACATGACTCAACGTGGCACAGGGCCTACTACTGTTTTGCGATGCCACGGTCCTATCTCCTATCTCTGCCGATGATCGAACTCGACCTGGCACCAGCAATACAGGTGGGCGATTGCTGCAATTGGCGGAGAAGGAAAATAATGCAATCTAGTCAAAAGTGACACGGACTAGGGTCACTACAATGCTTGGGAACGGAAGTGTATGGCAGATGGGGCCACCAAGCCGCCCTACTGGTCCCCAAACTCGCCATGGAACGAAGACGCACACTACGCCCCTGTGTACGTCGAGGTGCCGCACTCGGCCTTGGGGCATCTGAGGAATTGCGGTTCAACGTGCAGTAGTGGCTGGTGTTTTGAATCCGCATGGGAATCTCCCACAAACGCCACTGGAGACAGCGCCTTGGTTGAGGGAGCTAGAAGTGGTGTAACTCTTGCTCCTGCTCCTTCCTCCTCCTCCTCCTCCTCCTCCTCCTCCTCCTCCGTTGGCTCTGCTTACCAGAGGGTGTTCGGCGCTCTTCGCTCTCTCTTTTTTTGGGGCGCCTCGGTAGCCCGTTTGGTGTCCGATGCAGTGGCCCTCGAGGGGGAAAAAAAGAAGGTGGGTGAGAGGAATAAGGAAGAGAAGAAAGAGGCACAATAATCCATTGGCGTCATTTTCTTCCTTTCATGCCAATCCATTTTTCCAATGGCCAAGAGGACACCAGGTCACCGAATCACCGGATCCACTGGCCCGATCACCAGATCAGCCGGATCAGCTGACCACGACGCCTGGTCACCAAGTCACTGGGTCAGCCAGCCAGATCAGCCGGATCACCCGATTGGCCGGATCACCGGGTCAGCTGGGCACAACACCAAGAAACCGATCACTAGATCAGCCGGATCAGCCGGATCAGCGGATCAGCTGGCCAGAACACCGGGTCACTGGATCACCAGGTCACCGGATCAGCTGGCCGGATCAGCAGGTCACTGTCGCGTGCGGTCTGTGATTCAATGTGTGCTGTCTGTGATTCGGCGCGTGCGGTCTGTGATTTAATGTGAGTTGTCTGTAATTCGTTGCGTGTGGTCTGTGATTCAATGTGTGTTGTCTGTGATTCGGCGCGCGCGGTCTGTGATTCAATGTGTGCTGTCTGTGATTCGGCGCGCGCGGTCTGTGATTCGGCGCGCGCGCTCTGTGATTCGGCGCGCGCGGTCTGTGATTCAATGTGTACTGTCTGTGATTCGGCGCGCGCGGTCTGTGATTCAATGTGTGCTGTCTGTGGTTCGGCGCGCGCGGTCTGTATATCAACGTTTGGTCTGTGATTCGGAACTCCCCAAATTTTGCAAGTCCCACACGCTACGCAATTCGCACGTGCCCCACAACTCCCACACGTCCTGCAAATCCCGCAAGTCCTGCAGGTCCCGTAAGTCCCACACGACCCACAGGTCCGACAACTCCAGCAAACTTCGTAGGCCACCCAGGTCCCACGAGTCGCCCCCCCAAGACCAAAAGGTCTCGTAAGTCCCACAAGCTCCACAAGTCTCGCAGGCCTCACAAGTCCCTCAAGTCCTAGAAGCCCTACAAATCTCACACGTCACACAAGTCATCCAAGTCGGACAAATCCCACCAGTCCTCTGGAAGTAGGTGGTTTAGGGCGGCTCCTCTTCCAACACCCTTTCTTCCCCTTTGGGGAGGCGGTTTACCCCTCCCCCTACCCCCTCCCCTGGACCTGGACGGGGCGCCCCGCGAGCGGTCACGGCGTCCAAAACGGCCTCGGCGAGGCAGCCAAAGGAAAATTCAGGACCCCCCCGTCTTTGATCGATCTCCTCCGAGATGGCCCCACGAGCGCTCCCAAGGCTCCCAAGGGTGCCCCAAAAGGGCCCCAAGAGGTGGCCAGGAGGCCCCCAGAGGCCCCCAAGAGGCCCCCAGGATGCCTCCAAGAGGCTCCCAAGAGACCCCCAAAAGGCCCCAAGAGGCCCCCCAAAGGCACCCAAGCCGCTCCAAGAGGCCTCGGCGAGAATGCCCAAATCATTGATTATACTAAGGTTTTGACCACATTTTGGCCTCCCGGGGAAGGGGGCACTGAGTAAGATGACTCCAAGAGCGCCTGGGAGAGCTCAAGATGACCTCCAAGATGGCTCAAGATACCCCAAGATGCCCCAAGATGGCTCCCACGATGCTCCAAGAGGCCCCAAGACCGCTTCAAGACGGCTCCAAGTTGCCAAAAAGCTCCCCCAGGAAGCCCCGAAGAGGCCAAAATCCTTCCAAAACCTTGCGACAATCAATGTTTTTGGCTTTCTCGACTTTTCGCTTCCGATGGCCATCCGAGGCCTCAAGATGGCTCCAAGATGGCCTAAGTGGGCTCCAAGGGCGCTCCCAAGGCTCCCAAGAGCGCTTCAGGAGGGCCCCAAGAGGCGCCCAGGAGGCCCCGTCGTTTGCTTGATGCTTGCCAAGTGTGTGCCATATGGTTGTCACGATGTGATTCGTTGATATACTTTATGCGCACATGAATGCCAAAAGTGTGACATTATTCAATGCAGTCGCCCTGGTCTTCTCACGGCGCTTCTAAAGCCGCACACTCATCAATGCTCGGTTTCTGGAACGTGTACCCATGCAACTTAAGAACATGCTTATCATGCCGCTCAACCCACGACCTTGCTTCCTCGTCGTAAAAACAATGATACGGAATGCGCTGGTTGCCTTGGAATCCATTATCCGCTGGCCCCCTCGAGAGCCACCAAGCTGCGCGGCTGAGATGTCCTGCAAACTGCGCCATTACAGGCTTTCAATTTCCAATGGTATAATTCCAATGTCTGTTTCCTATAATGTGCGTTTTACGGCCCGCGCGAAGGGGGGGGAAGGGGAAAGGGGGCGCGAAAACAATCCTGGCAACGGCCCCCGTCAGAAGTCCCCGGGGGGGCCCAGGACACCTCGGAACAGAGCAAACGCGTGCCCCCGTGGCCGTATCATCTCGTATCTACCACGACAGATTCACGTCCCAAAGGCCACAATCCCTGGCAAATCACATTCGATTCGCGCCCCCGAGGCCACGATCCCTTAGTAAATAATGAATCACACCACGCTCGCTCCTCGTGGCTTGCACCCGCGTCGCGCCCCCGGGGCCACGATCGTTTGTAAGTTGCGATGCGTTCGCGCTCCTGGGGCCACGATCTCGCGTACATCGCGCCAGATGCGTTTTCTTATTCGGCGTTTCGACATTGGGCGGAAGGAGGGGGGTCTGGCTCTGGACCTCTGCTTAGTGCGGCTGTTTGCAGGAGTGCGTCGTCCTATGAGGGAGAAGCTCCACCTGCTCGAGACAGGCGCCAAAAAGCAGCCAACATCTACTCCAAAGGGGGGCGGGGCGGGCGGGTTTGGGGGCCCGCGCCGATCGGCAAAACAATGAAGACACAAACTATCACATTTGCCTCCCCGAAAGCCACGGTGTCTCGAACCGCAATCTTCGTATGCACTGCGCTCGGCTCGCATCCCCGAGGCGACCATCCCTTGCAGACTACGCCAGTCTCGCGCCCCCGAGGCTACTATCCCTTGTAAATGATGTCGCCTGAAGTCGGCGCCCAGGCATCCGACGATAGCTCTGACATGCCCCGTTCTGATAGAGAGGGGGCCCGCGGCAGAAGGCGAAGTCCTTATGGATAACCCTTGTACCGTAGCATATTGAAATATCCCCAATTGATGCTTCCTGGCTGAAAGCATTCAAATTTTAGCAGACCTTGCTCAAGCGATGCATAGAAATCTTCTTGTCTGACAATTGCATCATATATGACAACGGGTTGTTTATCACCTTGCGTATCTGGATTCGCAGCAACCGCATCTTCGACGGACGAATTGAATAACATCATCCGCTCATATATCCGACCCATGCTGTAAACCCCACGGCCGCACCGACCGTCCATTTCCTCCAACACAAAGTGAAGCCACATCTTGAAGGAGGTCGCATTGTTGCTTCCGCTGAATATGCCTTGTATGCTGCGTTCCCTTGCTGTTTGCCCCAGGCAGGCGTAGGCATAAGGATCCTCTTCTCGGTGCATAACCATTTGCCAGTAAGACACGTAAAAATCAAATGGGTTCCTCACAGTACCCAGAATGAAGACGTCGCTTGGGGTCCTGCCACAGAATTTCGGATCACAAGAATTCTCCTTCTGGCCTAAATCCGCGGACCCTGTCGGCGCGTGACAGGGGCTGTTCCGTCGCCGTCGCCGTCGCTGCCGCCGTCGCGTCGCCGCCGCCATCGCGTCCCCTCCTTCCCCTGAGTCCGTCGCCGCGCCCCCCCCTTTCCTTTGGGCCCTCGTCCTGCAGCACGCCAGCCAAAGCGAAATACACACGCCCATCCACAGCGAAATTAAGCAACGTTGTCATTGAGTCGAAAGGACGCCCCTTCCCTTTGATCCCTTCCTCGCAGGAAGGGGGTGGTGGTGGGGGGCCCTGGGGGGGGTCCCGGGGGGTGGTCCCAGGGGTGGTCCCGGGTCAGAATACCACCCTGCCGGGGCCCATGGCCCGCCCTCTCCCTCCCATTTCCGTCGAAGGCCGAGGGCTCCAGGCTCGGCGGCACCGCCCATAGGGCCTTAGCAATATGCGATCTTGCCTTTTTCGGTGAGGCCATCCGCGAAGAAGGCATCCAGGGTATGACCGCCACACTTGCTGATATGGTACAATTCCAAATTCTTGATGTCGCGAATCGGCAGCACGTTGCCCCTCAAAATTTCGCAATTCGACCGTCCGTCCGCTTGCCTTGTCACGTTGAGCGAACTGAGGGGGGCGCGAGGATCGGCAAGATCGTTGTGGACAAATGACGAGCGGCTTCCACGCATCTCCAACAACTTCGACTGCAACTCCTCGTCTCGCGGATGCTGCTCCTCCGCCTGGACCGACAAGCCATGAAGAAGTGCAGGCCTGAACATAACAACACATGCAAGCAATAATCCTCTGACCAT